TTACGGTTTGTTTATGCAAGATAATACTATTAATATAATGTGACTTTTCTAGAGAATCATTATACATAGTTATTTTATACAGGGTTTCCACAGTCTTACATCATTTCAGAATTCCCTGACTTTTACCTGACTCAGGATTAGTTTCCCTGACAAAATAAATGCAGCAAAAAGACAATGATAACATAACAGGTCACCAATTTAACATGTTTAGCTCCATAACATTTAAATGCACCTCTCCAATGTCTAAGAGAAAAAAAATGTATGAACATTTTTTAATGTATGACCTACATCACTGTACAGAAGACTGCCATATGGTAGCCATATTTACACTGTGCGCATGGCATACAATTATGCCAATTTTCCTAATCCCTGACAAATAATTTTTAATCTAGGGTTATCTGGGTGGTGGGTGAAATGGGTGGAGGGTAAGATAGCCTTGTTGTTGGTTTTTAGCCTTCCAAGTCGAAAAAAGTGTCTGATTCATGCTGGATAAAAACCCCCGAACAAAAATCACGCCACCTCGCGGAAAATTATGCGGCTTTTTCAAATCACGAGTGAAGTGTACAAAACAACAAAAATGGCGCCGGCAACGCTTGTGGGTCATTTTCAGCAAATGTCTGTGATTTTAAAGTAATTTTGAGTGATAAAAATTTTTTTTTGCGATCATTGCACTTGCCTGGCGGGCAAATGCAATTAAATTTGTACTCTCCCGACAATAAAAACAATTTGCCCCGGGCGATCGGGCAATGGTTAACATCGAGCCTTGTGTGAGGAGATTTTAATTCACAATTCACTGAAATCCTTTCACAGCTCTAAAGTAACGGTTCAGAGAGGATAATCTCTAACTATATTGAGAAAAAAACTCTAAATCTATATTCTAATAAATACCTATCAAAATATTGCAGCTCAATAGCTAATGTGATCAATTGACTCAAAATCATTGTTAGATAATAGCATTCCACAGGGTAAAAAGGTTAGACATTTAATTTCTGCATATTAAATCTTGAATTATTTTTTATTTTTATATGAAAACATTAACATTTTTGCTCAATAGTTTCCAGAACAGGTGATCAATTGACTTAATATCAGTGTTGGATCAAATCACTCCACTGGCTTCAAGATTTATGCCTTTTAATTTTACATTTCAAGTCTCTTAATAGCTTTTAGATATATAGGGTAAATATCAATATCGATAGCTTCTCCGCTTTAAAATCTAGGCCTACACTTTTATTTTGTAAACAGGAAGTCGGTACACGCTGTGGTCGTTAGCGCTTGTTGCTTCAACAGTCAAGATAAAGTAGTACATATCGTCTGGCATCATTATTTTGTGGATTTTTTGAGTGTTTGGGGTGGAGAGTTCAGTAAGATATATTACATATTATGCCTTAGAGTTTAATAAAGCAATTTCATCCAGAAAATACACTGCAGGTCAAAAAATAAGTTTAAATCACTTTTAGGAAAGAAAAATAGTCATATTCTGTGTATTTTGTGGATTATTTCAGTGCTGGGGGGGGGGGGGTGAGTTCAGAAGAATATATTTAATATGATAAAATATTGATTAATATAATAATTTATATGATTTAATATAATAAATATAATATATAATATAATTATTATTATATTGTAATATATTTTTTTTAATTAGTAAAAATATCACAATGAAAAACAAAATATGACAAACATTTTATTTTAAATAATTTACTGAGTTACATCCGTCACAGTACAGTAACGAGACAGAATAGTTTTAAATGGAATCAAATGTAGTGCAGAAACGTCTTTCATAGTTTACCTTTATTGCTAAAGTCTGTTTAGAATTTGCAGATGTTCATGAGGAATGCAAAATGAAGCCGTTGATGAGGAGCAGAAAGGTAAATAAGACACATCTGCTGTAACCTTGGTCATAGAAATATAACTGGTTTACTGTTAATAGTGTTTGATTTCAAAACCTAAAATACAGAGAAAGAAACTTGAAACAACACAGGCAGGCTGGGCTCACTAAACATGGAAACAAGTCCCTCTTCTTGCTGCTCTGTGGGAACGCGCCCGATCTTAGCCAATCAGTTTTTAACAGACAATCACTTTTTGGCACAACAGCGTCCAGCGAGCCACCATGAGAGCTCTATCATGGATATAGATATCAATGGTTTCTGATGCTTAGATTCCAACATGGAGGCTGTTCTGATCCTTGATTAGATCTTGGTGTCTTTTTCTGACCTCACTGTGGAAACCAAGCTGAAGCTGGCTTCAGGTTCAGCTAACGACTAAAGGGCTATTCCACCTCTTTTCTCACCACCTTAAGTGTCTTTAATCTGTTCTAATTTTAAAACTACAACACTCAGACACCTAAACCTGGATTAGATTATTCCAAGCTAACAGCAGAATATTTCAAACCCTCTTTGGGATTTATGAAAGCTGTATCTGCTTTGTGAAACTTCCACAAAGAGCCCTAGAAGGTCTTTTGTTGCATCTGGCCCACATTATATACAGTGTTGTAGATCAGCTAGTGGTGGCAGCTGGAATATGCAGATGTCTCTGTCTCTTTCAGTACCCCCTTAATGTCTTTCAGGACATTCCTTAATAAGATCCTCTTAATGAGGATCTTATTAAGGAATGATCTCCATTAATTTGCAAGGAATCAGATATTTATAGGGAGAAGATTCTACAACTGTTTATATATTTTTTTATTTCTTTAATATATGCGACACGTGAGACTTTTTCATATTAAATGAAGAACTACTGAAATTATTTTTAGATTACACATAAATGGATTCATCAATTCTTTGGTTTCAGTGAAACCAACCTACTGAGCCTACTAGCACGATCCGAAGCCATTCCATAGGACTGATAACCGCCAATAACGGCCATTTATTGGGATGATAACATCCGAAGCGGCTGCAAGCAGACACTTAGTATTTACTGTGTAATAGGAGACAGAATCCAACTTAGGAGGAACCCATGAGATGATGAACAGGTCCTACCTGTTAGGATAATGTTTTTAGACTTCATCTTCACCTGCTGAAGATCCTATTAGATCCTATTAGAAAGAATCATAGTGATCTATAAATGGAACAACAGAGAAGAGTGTTTAATAAATGTTAAAACGGCTGCCATACGGTACTCTATATAAACCTATGCATTAACTGGAGCAGCAATCTTTTCCCACACAATGTCCTTCTCCTTTGCAGATGTAGCGCTGTTTCTGTCTTTTAAACCCTTTTTCCAGTTTGTTTTTACATTTCTTCATTAAAATCTCTATTTCCAGTGGTGTGAAATTGAACCTTACTGTTGTCTGTCATCATGATGACTCAGCAAATTGGGGCTCTGCTGATAATGGTTTTTCTTACTTGATATGCACATGTTCAGGTCACAGTGGACCTACTTACAGTTGATCAAACTAACTCACAGCAGCCTTATTGATATTGAGTTTTCAACCATAGGCTAGATCAATTTAGAGTTGAGGGTTTAACTCTGAGTTTGTTTAAACCTGCTTTGTGAAATAGGCCCCTGGCCAGTAGCAGCTGAGAAAACCATTTGACATTTCATCCACCAATTTCATCACATATTTTCTTATCTAGGAATTACAAAGTGGTCTGGATTATAATTAATTAATTAATATTAATGTGTGGGGTTTTTATCTTTCGTTTTTTTTTTTTTTTTTTTTTTTTTTTTTTGCAAAATTGAAACTAACCTTTTCTTTGGGAAAACAGTGCTCTGGGACACAATGTGAGTAGAAGGCTTAATTTTATCCCTATGTTTAAAAAAATAGCTCTCTTCTTTGGTATACATTCCACGAGGATCTAACTTATGAGGAACACCTGAGTGTCGATCATTTTTAGGAACTAAATAGAAATATTTTAAACTCATTATTTACACAGCAGCATTTTGATCAGGTGGAATTGTTTCCCAGTTTTTTTCTTAACTCTATTCAACAAGCAGTCTAATCAATAGAAACACAGATACTGATGATAGAACTCATCACCACTGTGGGGTTATTATTTAAACAAATGACAGGAAACCTATGGTTTTATGGCTGTTTGGAGAGATGACTATTAAAAGGGGTCCCTATGTCCTCCAGCAGTCTAAGCCTATAGCAGCATAACTATAGAGATAGCTCAGGATAACCTGAGCCACTCTAACTATAAGCTTTATCAAAAACGAAAGTTTTAAGCTTAAAAGTAGACAGGGTGTCTGCCTCACTGACTACAAGTGGTATTTGGTTCCACAGCAGAGGAGCCTGATAACTAAAAGATCTGCCTCGCATTCTACTTTTAGAAATTCTATGAGCCACTAGTAAACCTACAGATTGAGAGCGAAGTGCTCTGTTAGGAACGTAAGGAACAATAACTTATATCAGATGGATCTTGGTTAATTAGAGCTTTATATGTGATAAGGAGCATTTTAAATTCTTAACAGGAAGTAAATGAAGAGAAGCTAGAGTAGGAGAGATGTGGTGTCTGTTTTTAATTTTCATCAGGACTCGTGACTGCAGCATTTTGGATCAACTAAAGGCTTTTTACTACAGTTTGTAGACTTCCTGACTGTAAAGAATTACAATAGTCCATCATTGACGTAACAATTGCATGGACTAGTTTCTCAGCATCACCCCTGGACAGTATATTTCTCTGAAGATAAAAGAAGGAAATTCTAGAAACCTCTATGATATGGGATTAAAATGGCAGCTCCTGCTCAACCTCTGACACATTGAGCTGGGGTCTGTCTCTTCCAGGCAGAGGTGTACAGAAAGCGCTGCTGAGTTTAGGGTGCCTCATTACTTCCTCATTTGCCAGACAGTCACTGTGGTGTTGGATGTAAATGCTTTACTTTCCTTAATAATTGTTTGTGTGGGAAATAAATTTAGGCCAGAATGAACTTCATATCTTCTGTTGCTTGATAGGATCCACTGGCTCCTTAACCTCAAGGAGAGAGTTTGGTGCTTTTATGTGAGGTGTCCTTTATTTAACCACCAATAGAACGCCTTTTTGCTGTGTTTGTCTTTCCAGACCGCCTGCAGGATTATGTTGGAAAAGAGGAGGATTTCTCTGACCAGCAGCTCTGTGGACAGGAGAGGAAATCCAGTTTGGACCATGAGGAATCGGAATATCCGCAGATAAAAGAAGAGCATCAAAAGCCAGAACATCCCTGGACAAAAGAGGAAACCATGGAGCTCCCCATAAGTGAGCAGAAAGAGCAGCTTATTCTGAAGCAGAAGATTAAAGATACAAGAGAGAAACCTTTCCCATGTTTGACATGTGGAGAAAACTTTCTTAAAAAATTGCATTTAACGGTTCACATGAGAACTCACACAGGTCAGAAGTTTTATTGTCTGTCCTGTGGAAAAATTTTCACAAAGAAATCTAGACTTGATAAACATATGATAATTCACACAGGTGAGAAGCCTTTTGAATGTCTGTCCTGTGGAAAAAGCTTCACTCAGAAATCTGATCTTGATAAACACATGAGAATTCACACAGGTGAAAAGCCTTTTTCCTGTACCATTTGTAACAATAAATTCAATCAAAAGGGTAGTTTGACTTTTCACATGAGAATTCACACAGGTGTGAAGCCTTTTGAATGTCTGACCTGTGGAAAAGGCTTCTCTAAGAAATCTAATCTTGATAGACACACCAGAAATCACACAGGTGAGAAGCCTTTTGAATGTCTGTCCTGTGGAAAAAGTTTCACCTCTAAGTCTGATCTTAATAAACACATCAGAATTCACACTGGTGAAAAGCCTTTTGAATGTCCGTCCTGTGGAAAAAGCTTCACTAACAAAGCTAATCTTGATAGACACACCAGAATTCACACAGGTGAGAAGCCTTTTGAATGTCTGTCCTGTGGAAAAAGTTTCACCTCTAAGTCTGATCTTAATAAACACATCAGAATTCACACAGATGAGAAGCCTTTTGAATGTCTGTCCTGTGGAAAAAGCTTTACTGACAAATCTTATCTTGATAGACACATCAGAATTCACACTGGTGAGAAGCCCTTTTCCTGTACCATTTGTGACAGTAAATTTACTCAAAAGAGTAGTTTGACTTCTCACATGATAATTCACACAGGTGAGAAGCCTTTTGAATGTCGGTCCTGTGGAAAAAGCTTCACTAAGAAATCTCATCTTTTTAGACACATCAGAATTCACACTGGTGAGAAGCCCTTTTCCTGTACAATTTGTAACAATAAATTTACTCAAAAGAGTCATTTGACTTCTCACGTGAGAATTCACGCAGGTGTGAAACCGTTTGAATGTCGGTCCTGTGGAAAAAGCTTCACTGACAAATCTCATCTTGATAGACACTTCAGAATTCACACTGGTGAGAAGCCTTTTTCCTGTACCATTTGTAACAATACATTTACTCAAAAGAGTAGTTTGACTAAACACAGGAGAATTCACACTGGTGTGAAGCCTTTTGAATAAGTCACTGTAGTCAGATGCCACAGGAATGAACAGTAGAGGTGTTTACCACGTTTGACTGGTGATAAAGTGTCCATCTAGAAACTCCTTCACCTCATTACATGAGAAACTCACGGGTCAAAGTCACTTTTTTTGAGGCAAGTTTTGAGAAAGCCATTAATTAACAACTCTGTTTACATAGAAACTAGAACAGATAAGGTGTTATATAGTAAATCTGGTAAACACTTAGGTGCTATGATTTATTTTTATTTGTTTTTTTTGTTTGTGCTTTTTTTTATTGCCAATATGTAATCTGTACCTGATCTTTTCATGACAGTCTGAACAATAAAAATCTGATTTTGCAACAATAGTTCTGGACCATTTATAGAAAAAGTGACAGTGTTAGAGGTTTTTGATGAACAACTTGTACAACTCAATTTGTGTTGTTGTACACAAAAATTAAAAAACAAGTTTTTCTATTATTATACAATTGATATAAATTATTTGTGGTTGTTTTTTTGCATCAATTTTATAAACCAGTTTACTAATTCTGACTGCAACTTTCTTAGCACTAAATATGAGCTATTCCTATTACCTCAAAGGTGAAAGTTCCATCAATGAAATATTCTTAATGAGTTTACTAATTTCTGTGCAGAAATCCCTATTATGCCAGAGGTTAGTTCAATTACCAAATTAAGGATGATGGTGATTTACATTTAGTCAAAGAGAGAACAAAAGTAACAGCAATGATCAGTTAAAGGGGATGGTGATATTTTACCACACAATATTATAAATCATGTAAGGAATCAACCAATAGTCTACTTGAGGAATTTAATCAGGTGTTTTGTCTCAGATTCCTTGATCTCCAACAATCAGATTAAAACTGGAGAATAAAAATATCCTCAATGAGAGGATGCTGTCATTCAGTGGGAAAACGATCATTGAATCCATCTGGAGCTACAATAATCTTCTCTCCAATGAGAACCTGTTCAGTGAAGTATTTAAGCTTCCACTGCTCTATTTCCTTTAGGTTGAATTTTTTCTTTTGTTAAACACAGTCCTTAGAAATATGAATAGGCCATAATATAATTATTTTGAAAGTCTTACCCTTTATTTTACGAAATCATTGCACATTTAAAATACAACAATGAAACAAAAAATTAACATAATTACCTATTAAAAGATGTCCTGCTTTATAGATCATTTTATATAACAACCGTTATGCTCTTTTAAGACTTAGATAAACATCAATGTCAATTTCTATGCTGAGTTTATCCAAAATTAAATTTGGGAAGTCCAGGCTCTGTATCACAGATATTATGCGGTAAATGTGCTTGAAATCAAGCGGAGTGAATTCGTTACACCGCTTATTCTGGGCTATCATGGAAAAGTTTCACGAGTCTTAATCAGATCTATGAGAAAAACAGAACACATAACTGTTATGCTGTTCCTGCTTTTTACTTACTGTGATTGGGGTAAAAAAAGGTTTTAAAAAAAAGTTGGATTTCTAACCCTGAATCAGAACCATAGAAGTGGCTGCAGTACCCTGAGGCAATGCCTTCACTCTAAAACCCCCTTAACTCTCCTCGCCTTCCTCCTCCCCAGAAACCTGCACCGGATGAAAGTGTGGCGATACTCAGCTCTAAACTCTGAAAATAATTTTCCCCAGACAAGAACACCTACAATTTCAATAGGTTTTAATGTATGTAAATATCTATTTATATAGATATATATAGATATACATACACTGCTCAAAAAAATTTAAAGAACACTTTGAAAACACATCCGATCTCAGTGGGGAAAAAAGTCATGGCAGGGCAGGCAAGGCAAATTAATTTTTATAGCACAATTAAGTACAAAGACAATGCAAAGTGCTTTACATGACTAAAATTAAGGAAAATAAAACAATCAAAGCAGGTAGGACAAAAAAATAACAAAAAATGCAGAAACAAAAAAGGAAATTAAAAACAGTTGGACTAAAGAAAATAAAAGTTGAACTAATGATGTTTCAGTTGAGCTGTTTAACTAAAACAGTCGATGGCAGTCCTAAACAAATGTGTTTTTAGTCTTGATTTAAAGGAACTCAGGCTTTCCGCACTTTTACAGTTTTCTGGAAGTTTGTTCCAGATAAGTGGAGCATAGGAACTAAATGCTGCTTCTCCATGTTTAGTTCTGGTTCTAGGTATGCAGAGCAGGCTGGAGCCAGAAGACCTGAGTGGTCTGGAGGGTTGATACACTGATAGCAAGTCTGTGACATATTTAGGTACTAAGCCATTCAGAGATTTATAGACTAACAGAAGTATTTTAAAGTCTATTCTCTGAGATACAGGGAGCCAGTCAGTGGCGGTCGGCCCATAGGGGGCGCTGGGGCACCGCCCTCCCTGATAAGAAGAGAGAAACTTAAAATATATTTTTACAAATTAACTCATAAATGTCAGTTTTACTCTCAAGAGTGTGTACCTATAAGCAAAACAAATTATATAAACTACATTTCCCAACCTACTGTCATTTGCAACCCAGTCTCATGGGAAAATGTACCCCCACTACGTTGGTCCACACTGCAAAACGTAGTGGAGGTACATTAATGGCCATTTTTTTGTGGTACTGTTACGTTTCTTCTGCCTATACGCTTTCTATTGTTTTACGTCCTAGTCACGTGACTTTCAAGATTCCAGCTGGGAGAAGAAAAAAATATATATATATGTCCGACATTCGCTAATTTTTTTGTGGAAAGATTAATAACTTGAGTTTGTTTTTGCATTAAAATGAGTTTTGATTACATTTCTAGTGAGAAATGTATAGTTTGTTGCCAGAATATTTACTCAGGGAATGTACATATTCACTTGCTTGTTCGTTTCTTGCAAAGATTTTTCAAGATAATGTGAAACTGTAACGTTTTGGTATAAACATGGCTGAGATTTCTCTAACTTTTAGTGGGAAAATCAATAATTTCAATCAGTTTCTGCATTTAAATGGGTTTTGATTACAGTCATAGCGAGAAGTGTAGGGTTTATTTACATAATATAGTTTTTTGGATCTCGTCAGGATTATGTGAAATTGCAACGTTTTGGCTGCTACCCATCGCCTAGCATTTAGCTGCCGCCCCGATTCAACATTGAATTCTTTGTGATTTAACTCCATCTGACGGATCAAACCCTCGCCACTGCGTGCGTTGCGTCTGAGGTTGATTTTCAGATCAATGCATTACGTTGTGGCATACGGGAGAAACTAATTAAACTAGTTAAAAAAAGGATCATGGGTTAAAGGAATAGTACACCCAAAACATGATTAGCCTTCATTTTCTACTCACCCCCATGCTGAACAACACTCTGGAGTACTTTTTTGATATCTCAAATGCATCTGGAGATCTGGGAGGCTTCTTGCTGTCTGCTGACATTCAAATAATGGAGGTCTATGGTGCCCGAGACAGAAAGGTCCATAAAAGTCAACAAAAAACGTGTCAATATTCCTCCATACTGCTCGTCCAATGTATTCCAAGTGTCCTGAGTGGGTAGCATCTAGAATTTACTCGAAACAAAGTCATTTAGAATGTTTTTAGAGCATAAACAGTAGTGTATAGGATTTCCTGAAAGCGCGCGTCCGCACGTTCACGACGCTACGGAAGCCGGCAGACCAACCAGATGAAAGTGCGCATTCAGCATCTGCTCTGCCGATAATGCAAGTGTAGAAGAAGAAATGTGCTGTTTACCTGTGCAAAGAAAGAAACAACGAAAGAAAAATGTCTGAGGACTTCAGCGTTGAGGAAGAGCATGAGTTCTTTGCCGAGCTGAATGCGCACTTTCATCCGGTTTGGTCTGCCGCGGTTTCCGTAGCGTCGTGAACGTGCGGGCGCGCGCTTTTAGGAAATCCTATACACTACTGTTTATGCTCTAAAAACATTCTAAATGACTTCGTTTCGAGTAAATTCTGGATGCTACCCACTCAGGACACTTGGAATACATTGGACGAGCAGTATGGAGGAATATTGACACGTTTTTTGTGGACTTTAATGGACCTTTCTGTCTCGGGCACCGTAGACCTCCATTATTTGAATGTCAGCAGACAGCAAGAAGCCTCCAAGATCTCCAGATGCATTTGAGATATCAAAAAAGTACTCCAGAGTGTTGTTCAGCATGGGGGTGAGTAAAAAATTGTTAAAGTGAGAAGGATTTGTCCCCTTGTAAGTAAAGGCTGTAGCGCCCCGGGGCCTCCTCACACGGTTCTTTTCCTGGGAGCAAGTTATTTACTACTCTTAACTCAAACTCGTTAAAACCATATAAAAAGGACTATAAAAACAGGAGTAAAAAAGTAACAGAGTTTATTCTAGATCAGGTCGTTACAGGACAGAGAAAAATGCTTCGAGCTATGCACAGCTGTGGTCTCAAAAATCACGTCCGCAAGCGTCCGGCAAAGTTTGAGCCCCGAACAAGGTCATCACCTGCTTCTTATACCTTGTGAGTCTATGTGTTGCATCATGTGGATGCTTAGCTGTCCGTATCAGAAACTGACACGCCATCCATGTCTTGAACTCCATGCAGGTTGCCTCTCTGTCTCAGGGTTACAGATACAGTAGCTCTCTCCTATCAGTCCGGCTCCAAGATGTGCCCATATCCTGAGTATTGTTAAAGACACGAAGGCTGTCTTGATTAGATGACCTCCGTACACACCACGACATCCACAATGTGAAGGAAGGCCTTCTGCTCTGTCTAATCTGACTAACAAATTAACAGTGCACATGATGTATAAATAATAAATCCTAACAACTCCCCCTGATAAGTTACCGTTTTTACAGGTAACTTAAAAACACAAGAAGCAACACATCTTTGAAGGACCGGGTGACCCAGAGAGCATCTATAATTAGTCATGTATCATTAATTAGGGATCAAAAGTAATCACAATCAAAGCTTCACAGACCAAATGTTCTCACTCAAGACCACAGTTTCAGCACTTAACTACAATTTGGGTGTCAACTAATTAAAGGAAAGCTGTTTTAGTTTCCTATGCGCACATTATTTTAAGTTACCTTAGACTAGATAACCTAAGCCTATAAATCTAATAAGGCCAAATTCATCTACTCTCACTCCCGCCTGGAGGCCTCCTAAATGTGACCGCTCCTCATGGATAAACCATCTATTCAACTTTACCAATCATTCA